GTTTAACTTTAATCATTCAAATTCACCCAAGATGGGTTTACAAGTGTAACATAGTGGTCAAAATTATACATGTATCTACCTTGAAAATTACTCTCACTCCACTTTCAATCTTCTAATGCTTAAGACAAAACTGACTTGATCCACTTATCTTAAACTTTACCTTCCAGTCTGCTTTTGAAAATCATCTTCAAATCCTCGTAAAACTCTGCGTAACCTTCTTTTCTCAGTTCGTGCTTGATGCTGTTGATAAAGCAATTCAGCCCTGCAAAGAGAAATAAAGCTCTCTCTTTCTATAAACAAAATAATACAAAATGAAAATAATTATTTTTAACTAAACATGATATAACAAAACATTTCAAGTTTAACAAAACTTTCAAGTGCATTTCTTAATTTTAGGTTACCATTTCATTATAATATCTTATTTCAAGTTTTTTATATTTTAACTCTATGTGCTCCTACTACCTAATTCACTTAATTAAAAACTTTACACATTTCACTACATCATACATGTAAAGTTTTTAATGAAAACCAGTTTCTTTACAGAAATCTATGAAACTAGATTTTATTTTAATTCATTAATATTTTCAGTATTCATTGTGTCAAATTAAGTTCATTAATACATTCTAAGGTCATATCCTTAACTTTTCCTATAAGTGCTAAAATTTGTTAATATTATTTTGCATTTTCTTTATTCAGGCACTAATATTAAACAGCTTTTACTTACAAAGGAAGTTCATGCAAATTAGAGCTATCGTATTTTGGAGGGACATCAGACTTGGACTGGGCAATAATGTCTTGTTCATTCACAGGATCAATATTGATAGGAACTTCATTTACACTTTGTAGCTTCACAGCCGAGTCAGCTGGCAGGACCAGCTTTTCTGTCGAAAGAACAGCATCCTGTCCTTCTTCCTGCTTCAAAACAAAATTAAAGAATGCTTACATTCATACACCTATACATCTCTGTATCTTAGTTTCTATACAAATATATTAAATACATTACTTACATTCACATATAGTTCTACTTACAAATCTTGAGTAAATATTCTCTAATTAGTATGTATTTCAAAATAGTACTTTTAACTTAATAACTGGTAAATAGGTATACCCAAGATATTATTAAGAATATATTAAACCTCCCAGCAAAATCTATTTTGACTAGTACCTGAGATGCAATTTCATATTTATCAATAAGAGTTTCAGTAGTGAAATTCTCACTACAATTATAAATAATCTGTTTGTTCAATAGACAAACTGGTTTTACATTAAACAACTACATGTGATTAAGTTTGCAAATGTAGCTCTGTACGACATTGACTTAAGCCTATGAATTTACTTATATCCTGCCATTTTTAAGGATTTGCTAAAATTACAAATGTTGGAAGTTTGAAACATTGAGAGCAAATGAAGAAATACAATAATGGAAAATACATAATACGAAATCATTAATGAAATCAGTCCGTTTGATGACAAGTGAGCAGGATTACCAAATAAGGATAGAACAAACTCAGAATACATTATATCAGTTAGCTGGAAAGACATTCCAGAGTACAACATGAGAAGTAGCAACTAGTGGTTTTGTTTATTAATGCCGATTAGAAATTTGAGAGAAAGCAACAAGTGGAAGAATGTGTGTAAAAAGACAAAAATTAACCGGTTTGTACCCATACATTCCAGATTAGTGGATTTGGATATCTTACCCCCATATCGATGGATAATTGCCCAGAAATAGTTATGTACAAACCAATTAACAAGTAATTATGATTTTGGTTTGATAGAATGCTGATAAAGTACCAACTGGACTGAAAGAATCATGTGCAGAACTAAGCAAACTGGACTTCTTGATGAGCCATAATTACACGAATTAAATAGTATAAAATACTGTGACTTTGGTTCTGGATGAAGAATTAATTAATAGCTTTGCTTTCAAGAGTTAGCCTACTGTTGGTCAGGAGTTACTAATAATCTACAATCTGATTGACTTAAATAAAATTAAAGTCATTTGCAATTACACAATACAATCATCTATATATCTTGATCAATTACGTTAAGATTTCCACACTTAAACTACAGAAAGTTGCATACCCTGTACTTAAGTTTCAATGTAATTATTACAATTCATTAAAAATTACTTCAAATATTCCGACTAGCATTTTCAAATAAAAAAGTAATGATCATAAACTGAAATTCTTAAAATTTCATTTAAATTTGACACTACACATTTTATTGGTAATTTGCCATGTGTTAACATTATTTCAAGCATTGTAAATTGCATGCCATGTGTCTGTTCCTTCATATATTCAGGTTATCTTATAATGCCTATATTAACAAAATATTTGGAATTTGTGTAATAAAACTTCAGTATTTAATAAAGACAGCATATCTGATTCATTGTTGGGTATACAGAAAACAGATCTATATTTTATAAAATATCTCAAGTCTAATGAAGATTGTATAATAAATTCTCATACTAACACAAAATACATACAATAAAGTTTCAATTTTTAATAAAGATTACAATTACAGTGCCTTGCAAAAGTATTCACCTTTGTGAAGTTTCCACATTTTGTTGCTGTCTGAGCTTGCAATTATGAAACTTTCAAATGGGACTTTATATGTAGAATCTACACAATCTACTCCAAACTGAGAAAGCTAAAACAAATGCTGATAATATGCAAGTAAGTGAGATTTTCAAAGAAAATTAGAATATTATCAATTACATAAGTATTCAACCCATTTGCTATGGCAACTCTAAATCAGTTCAGCTGCAAAAGATTAGTTTTAGTTTGAAAGGTCACAAAATTAGTGTAATGATCTCTGTCTGTGTGTAATCAAAGTGGTTTAATTTGACTTCAGAGTAAACGCATCAGTTCAAACCACAACTCACATAATGATACGACAAACTAGTTATGAAGACCAAGGAGCTTTCCAAACAAGTCAGGGATAAAGTGGTAAAGAAGCACAGATCAGGAGAAAGTTACCAGAATATTTCAAAGTCACTGACTATCCCTTTGATTAGTTAAGTCCATCATTAAGTAGTGGAGTTTGCTTCATACCACCCGGTCACTACCAAGATCAGGCAGCCCTTCCAAACTAACTGGTTAGGGATGCCACTGTAGAGTCAACAGTGACTTTAAAAGATTTGCAAAGTTTCATGTCTGAGATGGGAGTCAGTGTTCATACATCGATAATATCCTGGCCCCTACACAAAGCTGGGCTGTATGGGCAAGTGACAAGAAAGAAGTCATTACTGAAAAACAAATCATCTTAAACATCATATGGAGTTTACAAAGCATGTAAATTATACTGCAGACATGTGGTTGAAGGTTTTGTGGTCAGACGAGACAAAAATTAAGCTCTCTGGTCTAAATTCAAAGTGTTAAATCTGGCGCAATCGTAACACAGCACATCATCAAGTCAACATCATCTCAACTGTCAAGTATGGTGGTAGCAACATCATGTTACAGGGATTGAGAAGCTTATCAGCATTGAAGGGAAGATGGATAGGGCAAAGTACAGACAAATCCTAGAGGAATACCTGCTTGAGTCAGCCAAAAATCTAAAACTTGGTCAAAAATTCACATTTCAACAGAACAATGACCCAAAGCATAAGGCCAAAGCCACACTGGAGTGGTTTCAAAGGAATAAAATGAATGTCCTGGAGTGGCCCAGTCAAAATCCTGATATAAATCCAATGGAAATTTTATGGTGAGACTTGAAGATTGCAGTCCATCAATGATCCCCAATTAATTTGTCAGAATTTGAGCAATTTTGCCAAGAAGAATGGGCAAACATTACACCACCCCATTGTGAAAAGCTGGTACAGAGCTATCCAAAATGATTCACAGCAGTAATTGCTGTTAAAGGTGCTTCCACCAAGTACTGACTTAGGGGGGATGAATACTTATGCAATCAGCAAATTTCAATTTATGTATTTTCTTTGCATGTTTTGCTGACATTCAACCTCCTTCATATATAACAGTGTTAAGTTTGATCATTAGAGTTTTAAATACAAACAAGTTCATTAGAAAAAACTGCTTACATTATTTGTATTTCATCAAAATGTGAGATTATTGGTAGGGGTGAATACTTTTGCAAGGCACTGTATTTACTTTGACAAAAATGGCACATAAAAAATATAAGGTTTTAAAAAATCTTTACAATAAAGTTTCATTAATGTTCAAGATGTATTTAAATTATTATTTTTTTAAGTATAAGTAGTTCCTATGTTCCCATTTAATAGATTCTCGTACTGTAGAACTTGTTCAACAGATTTACTTTCACAAAAAGGCATATAAAAAAAACACAAGTTTTAGCAAAATATACACAGGGTGATTCAAAAGTCCACTGACAGGAAAATAATTCTTAAAAAATTGAGAGGTAGAGGGAAATAATTGTTAGTGGTATGAAATGAAGTGTTGCATGGGCCTACCCTGTGACAATATCATTAAAGCCATTTAATATCATGCCATTTGGAAGTTCTATTAACATGCAAAATACATCAAAAATGTCAATGGCAAAGATGTGCACCACACAAAGAAAACATTTTAAATCAGAATTACCAAAACAAACAACAGTTATAGGTATAATTACACACACTCCATGCATGTGGAGTTGTGTCACAGATGATCAAAATCCAACCACAGCAATGGCTGTTAAACAAACCTAGGTCTCAGGCTGCTGTTGGATTGTATATCATCCTTCACATCAGATAATAGGAAATGAGTGTCAGCAGCTGAGGACTACAGGCTAATTTATGTACAGGTGTTGTACAGACAAACCAAGAACAGCAATCAATAATCTCAAAGAAGCTGCCATACATTTGTCACATTTGAACAGCACTCTAAACATAGCTATTGATTGGTTGCCACAGTTTCATAATACTTTCTTTTGTAATACCTCATCTTCAATTGTTGTTGTTGTGGAGCAATTTTGGTAAGGCTACAATGCCTCATTCCATACCATTAATAATTATGTTCATACACATCTCATTTCTGAATTATTTGCTTGTAAATGAACTTTTCACTCACTTGGAATATAATAAATTAATTTTATTAACTACAGTTTAAATGCCTCTAATTGTGAATTCAAAATGAACAAATTAAGAGGAATGTGTGAAAAAAAATCTTCAGTTTATACAATTTGTTCATAAACTTTATTAATGTCCAAACTTTAATTTTTTAATTTTCATTTAAGAGTGCTTTCAGGTAAATTCTTAGTTCAGAACTCACCATTCCTTCTTCTCGAGGCTGAGGTGATATGAAATCCATAGCTACATGCTCCAAAATTGGTTGTAACTCTGAACCTGAATCCTTTCCTTTGCCTCCAATCCCTCCAACCAAATTGTACCTTGTCACCAATCTTTTCATAGTACGATAGCGATCATACAGTGGGCGTACCAGCTCTCTGTCAGAAATAGGTGTAGGTCTTCCATGAATGCTCTCAAACCTAAGCAGAGCCTTTTGGATGGCAACTTTCTCATCCATTATTTGTTCCTTGGTCATTTTCTAGACAAGTAGTACATGTATATGTTCACAAATAAAAGTGTACATTTTATGGGTGAAAGTGATCTTTCATCAGAAATTAAAAACTGATACATGAGCCTAAGTACTTGCAAGTTAAAACAGTAACAGACACAATAAGATAAGTTTGTTTCTCAGAAACTACATTCTTAGCATTATAATAACTTAAAAGCTTCAGTCCAATAGGTATCCTTTACTAACAGTCTAGATACACTATTCACTAAGTGATTGAAAACTAGAAAATTATTTCATTTTAATGTGCTTAACAGACAAAAAACTTAACCACTGAACATACTAATATGTTTTTTCCTAATGAATATGTTGGAACTTTATAAAACATAAAAGGAACAGATGGGCAATAATAATAATAATGTGAATTCCTAGAGCAGAAATGCAACAATTATTAAAAAAAAACATATTGACAACGTCACTTTCTAAATCTACTGGGATGAATAAAACTACTAAATGAAATATACTGTTAAAAATGGCTACTAAAAATTCATTTGATTTTCTGAATACATGTATACAACATATTTTTTTAACATAAAAAACAAATTGTATCACTGAGAAAAGTATCCCCCCCAAAAAAATAATGTTTCAAGTATGTTTCAATTAAAAAATGTAATATATTAAATTAAATCATTAAAAAAACAATTTGGTTTCATAAAATGTATGACTGATTCTCTTGTACCCTGTATGAAAATAGTTTTAATTTACCTACAGAAAATCTTCACTTGTGTTTCTTTCACAATGTAAGCAGGTATATTATCTGCTTTAACCTCAGGTTACATGTATTAATAATATTATATTCTTATTCCACATTTATAAACTGATTTTATAACTTTTCAGTATCAATTATAAATTCTCTGGTTGCACTATAGTTTGCACTTTTCTTCAAATGTCAGATTTTGTGATAGAATATTCCAAATTTGGAAAATCCTTCCATAAATTCATCAAAAATTAAAAAAATGTATACAATTAGAAAAAAAGGACAAATATAATAATCCATAAAATGTTATGTATATTTAACTGAAAAATGTGTTAAATGTAATTTTAATTTTTTTTTACTCAAAAAACAGACTACAACATCTTCCTCAAGAGGGAGATATGGTCATTTTCCCATCAGATTTAATGATAATATTTAATATTACACACTGTAATAAACTAAATGAGAAAGAGATAACCACCTCTATATCATCAGGTCTTTGAGCCAATCGTCTCTTATCTGACAGACTTTTAAGTGCTACATCTAGTGACTCTTCCACAGTTGGTTTGTTCAGATTGTTGTCACACTCTGATATTTCCTTCTCTGTGTAATCAGGCTCTTCCTTCAACAGTTGTTCAGATTTTCTCTGAAAGTTTGCAACTCCTTCTCCACTATCTGTACACTGTTCTTCTTCAAATCTAGGAAATTAACAATTCATTACT